TGAACGTATACATTTAAAGTGGACTGTTAATTCAGCTTTTTTATATTACTTTTTGTTCTGCTTGTTCAATTGAGGATTTTAATTCAGAGGATTATTGAAACCAATAATTTCATCACACATTTAATTGATACGCGAGAGAAAGATTAAATTTTATCATTTTCACTTCGATAAGATTTATCTGCATATATGAACATTTATTAAATTATTATTACTATACATTAACCTTCAACTGGTGGCGTGTGCCCGTTCGTCGTCTTATCAGCCTGTAAAACGAGCTCTAAAAAATCTGCTCACCGCTTGAATGTTAAATATATGTAGAAATTTATCTATGTATATATCTATCTATCTATATACACATAGAGAGAGAGAGAGAGAGAGAGAGAGAGAGAGAGAGAGAAATTTTAACATATATTTAACGTTGAAGCGATGATAAAAAATATATGTATATATTCATTTATTTATTGGAATAAAATAAAATTTAAATAAACTAAAAAATATATATATATATTAAAATATACATACATTGTAATACTTTGTCCAGCGTAACCTCCCTGTTACCAATAAACGGCGACATGCAAATTTCGAAAACGTCACCCAGCCTTCCCCTATCGCGCGTCAAGATCGACGAGTCCGTCTCGAAATAATTTCTCCCGCAGCCAGCCGCAGAAGACAACGATGCTTATCGTAGAAAACCCGACGCGATACGCGGCGCGGCGCGGCGTGGCGCGGCACGGCACAGAAACGCAGCCGCGCGGAAGCACCTGGAACGCCATTTTAGTGTGCGTACACAGAAGGGTTGCGACACCCGGAAAGTTCTCATTACCCGGATTACGATCTGACGCGAGGGGATAAAAATAAAGCCTTGCCCTTGCAAGGCTATAATCACGTTTAAAGCCGGGCTCGCCGGCGAAAGCAAATATTACTTCCGCGCAAACGATGTTAACCAAGCAAACCGCCGTTGTTTGTCGTGTAATGGCGTTGCAACGATTAACAAATATCGTCCGATTGACCGAACCCGGCCCGGCCCTCCCCCGACGTAACCAGGCGCGCGTCCGCCACGGCGGCGGACAATTTTCTCGGCCGAAGACTGTTGTCATTGATCGACGTCGATCGTTCGATGCGATGGAAAACGAAGCCGGAAACGGCGGCGAACGTGACCCCGCGTTGCTCGCGGGACTCGACAGCCGCCGCCGCCGACGCGGCACGTCTTTTTACACGTCGTCACGAACGTGTGCAACAGGTAAATGGTAATACACTAAGATCGCATGCCGCAATTAATTTTTTAATAGCTAACCTCGACTTCGCTGGAATTCCAGGGAAACGCTTATCGCCGCGCGCGCGCGCGCCGGAAACAGGAACCGAGAGGACGCTCGGACAAAAATTGCGGTAATTATGCAGGATGCTGCATCGGTCGCGGTGCGAACGGTCGGAAGCTGATTCTGTACAGGGTGCTTTATACTACAGATTGGGTCACGTGGATTGGACGTGGCTGGAAATAAGACGAGAATCGAGAATAACGAAATTGGAGGTTTCGTTTTCGAGGAAATCAAATTTAAATGGCAAATTTAAGCGTCAAATTTAATTAACTTCAAAATTAATGAACTAAATACAGCAAAAAATGCACTGATGATTTTAGTATCACGTGTTTAATATATTCTTCAATGTTAAAGAAGCTTGAAGTTGTATAACGCGAGCAAACGATCGCATCGGCGGCCTATAATGACCAAAAATTGCAGAATATACGAGTGCAATTTGTTTTGTCTCTTGAATAATTTTAACAAGGTTAAATTAATACGTCAACATTTTCTCAGTTTCTTTTAATCTTCTCACTATTTCATGTTTCACCGATGCATTTTATATCATGAATTTGATATTTCCAAACGAAATTGCGAACGTTTATCATAATATTTAATTGCATTTAATGCATTGTGCTGTCAATTCGATCGCGGGGAAACAGTTAAACAGAAAAAGCATAGGGATCTTAGTATAGTTGTAAGGAAGGACGATGCTCCGGCTTCTTGCACGGAGGAAGAAGGGGCGTATAACTATTTACACACGTCAAACACGTGTGTAACGGCATTGTCGCCGTCAACATTTCCGGCGCATGCACGTGGAGTGACGTTTTAAAAACCTCGGCCGCACTCGTCGGCGAAGAATAAATAGCGGCCGAAAATAACGTTCGTCGCTGTTCCCTTTTAAAAGTATCTGATGGATTTTCGATGATGGATCGCTTTTTAATAGTCTTCTCGTTGCACTTGTGAATCGATGCAACTTTCAGAAAATAAATTTATAAAAATCACGAGGATACGGTAAAAAATACGAATATAATATATAATAATATACAATATAGTATATATTCGTAATATATTATTATATATATATTGGGTTGGCAACTAAGTAATTGCTGATTTCAGTTATAGATGTCTCTCACTCCCATTTTTATGATATCCGTAAATGTTATATTATAAAATTATTATTATTATTATTATTACGTTATTTTTTATTATCCGTGAATGTTAGCAACTGGACAAATTGAATGCAGCGGTCAAGGAAAAGCGACCAGAATTGGTCGATCGTAAAGGTGTCATTTTCCAGCAGGGCAATGCTAGGCCGCACACGTCTTTGTCCACTCGGCAAAAATTCATGGATATTGGTTGGGAATTGATGTTACACCCACCATACAGCCCTGATCTCGCGTCATCGGATTACCACTTATTTCGATCCGTGGACAACTCCCTTCGTGGTAAAACTTTTAACGACGATGACGCTGTGAAATCTCACTTAACTCAGTTTTTGGCCGAAAAGGATCAGACTTTCTACGAGCGTGGAATTTTCAAGTTGCCAGAGAGATGGCAAAAGGTCATCGAACAAAATGGAAAATACATTACAGATTAAACTTCGTTCCAAGAAAAAAAGAATTTTTTATTTCATTGAACAAATCGGCAATTACTTAGTTGCCAACCCAATAATATAATGTATATAATACGAACGTATGTTGTTAACACAAAATTCATCTTTGACGAATGAATTTTCTGGCAGCCAATTTAAGTTGTTTACTGTCTTGCACCACGCACGACGAAAGTACAAAGATAGTACAAAGAAATGGGTCAAAAAAGGAGGTAAGAGAAGATTGATGGGTAATTTAGCTGCGGCTATTACGAGACGGCGAAAATCGTCCGGAGGAATTAAAAGAACGAGGGCGAAAGAAAGCGAAAGGCGAGGCGGATCCACAAGGAGGAGAAGAATAGGAGAGAAAGTGTAATTTATATCGAGACAGGTTCGGAACGTGGATGCGTTTAAGAGGTCCTGTGGAAACGGACAGAGAATACACTTTGTGGAGAGAAGAAAGAAAAGTGAAAACGGTCGGGGAAGTTCGAAGGAGAAGATGAAAGGACGAAGGGAGAGCTGCAGTTGCATCGTAAACGAGAATAGGATGGCGCAGGTAATGTGGCATAAACGGGTCGCGAAATAAATTGCGAGAACAAGATAGAAAAACAGGGAAACGAAAGTAGCGAACGGATACGGATGTGCGGATTAAGTTAGCTTTGTCAAGTTAGGTTAAGTGTATACCAAGTCTTGACCCTTTAAGTCCAGATGGTACTTTGTAGCGCCACTTACTTTGGAACGCTGCGTTGGACCGAAAATGCTTAGAACGCGGCTGGGACTTACGGCTGCTGTTTCTTTGAAGTCTTCCGCGCGATGCTACGAAGTGATATCAAACCGTGAATTTCATTTCGTCTTGTGTCCCGGCGCCGGTGAAATTAGGGACAGAAATATTCGAGGAACGAGCCTACGTTTTTAAGATTGTGTATATGCATCTATACATGCATCGAGGTGTCGAGATTGAATGAATATCTTCACTCGAATTTACAATTATTTTCGCGATTCATTTTCACGGCTCCTGAATAACCAAATTGTGTGTTCGACACTGTATCTGCTTCGCGACGAATGTAATGGTCGTTTATTGGCGGAGCATAATGTATGGTAATTACGGCACAATGGTAATTGCGAAATAATTCCATCTGATATTACAGTAGCCCAGATATTATTGTGCACCCTAATATTATCTAATTCTACGTTTCCAATTAGTGGAATTTCCATAGGAAATGAGACTGTTATTTAAATATTGACGAGGAAGATGGTATCTATTGTTTTATGTTATCGGAATGCTTCCATTGGTTTTATAATCAATTTCTTTTTAATCTCATTATATATATATATATTTTTAGATGTATGAAATGGATTCTCTCGTTGAAGCAAGTATTTAATCGATAAGTTAATTTTGTTAATCTTGAGGTTTCATTGATATCGATTTCCTTTGTTCGAAATTAAATCAGCATTGGAGACAGTGAAACCTTTTATGGTGAATATATTATAATCAATTTTTTGTAGTTAATATTTTGTAGTCAATATTTTGTAATCAATATTTTGTAATCAATATTTTATAATCGATATTTTGTAAACAATTTTTTGTAGTCAATATTTTGTAATCAATATTTTATAATCAATATTTTGTAGTCAATATTTCATAATCAATTTTTTGTAGTCAATATTTTGTAATCAATATTTTATAATCAATATTTTGTAGTCAATATTTCATAATCAATTTTTTGTAGTCAATATTTTGTAATCAATATTTTATAATCAATATNGAATATATTATAATCAATTTTTTGTAGTTAATATTTTGTAGTCAATATTTTGTAATCAATATTTTGTAATCAATATTTTATAATCGATATTTTGTAAACAATTTTTTGTAGTCAATATTTTGTAATCAATATTTTATAATCAATATTTTGTAGTCAATATTTCATAATCAATTTTTTGTAGTCAATATTTTGTAATCAATATTTTATAATCAATATTTTATAATCAATATTTTGTAATCAATATTTTTAAATCAATATTTTAAAATCTATACTAAAAGATGTAATGCAGTTAAAGAGATGAAAGTGAACAAGTATTAGCATTTCTGCGGATTTCAGAGCATCACTTACCTTATGGTGGATAAGCGATATGTTGTTTCGAGTGCGGAATAATACACCTCAGTCTTCTGTGTGTATGCGTCAAGAGAGGGTGGCACAAAGTTGAGGAGGTTCTTCTCGATTCGGCAACGTAGAAGGTCTTCACTTCGTGCAACACCATTGCAATTGACTTAATTCACTAGCGAACTCTTCACCGAACAACTGTACAGAGAGTCACGACGTTCGATCGAGCCTCGTGACCGATCCCTACCGCGCGAGTGCTCGCGTGAATTTTGTTGCTTTGCCCGTCACCGCGCGGCTCACTGCATTTCGCGTTCCATTTCGTAACTCGAACAGGCCACAGATACGTCTGAAAAAAGAAAGAAAATCAAAGTGTACTTGCTGCTGTGACTCTTGCAGTCGAATCTAATTAGGTTTCGTTCGCACTTTCACTGCCCGCGTCAACGAAATCTTTACGGAATTGAAGTGTTCCATATAATCGAATTAAAATTGGAAAGTTCAGCTACTTCAATTAATTTTTGAACATTCTCAGGTTTCGTGCATCCCACTGAAATTCAGTAGAAAGTGGCACAGTAGGTTAGAGAAATAAATTGGAAAAATTAATGTTCAAATCTGAACAAATAATTCTGTCAAGCATGATGTAAAAAATGAAATCTAAACGAAAGTGTAATTAATAGTTAAAAGTAGATTTACGATGTCTTTCTACAGACATTACAGTGTCACAGTTTAATTCGATCGAGAAAGACTTCAGTTCTAATTACAGATTTTAATCGAGTACATCAAATTATAATATAATTATACAAACATTTATGGTATTACAATATATGTATATAGAGAAACAGATAATTAATTGTTGTTGGAAGAACGTACGAATGCTGCACCAGAGAAATAATTAAGTTCAGTATCATCGATTTCGATTATTAAGTATTTATGAACTCGTTGCACGAAAATGTAATTAATCCATGTGTGTTGCAATTCATTAGATATATTTTGCAACGATGGAAATATTGCTAATATATTGCATATAAAGTTCGAAGATTTTGAGTTTGTGGCAATGTTTTATATTTTGGTAAATGATACAAATGCTATGAAATACATGCTACGAGATTATTGTGATTTTGGGTTGTTAATTAAATTCATTTCGATTTCCTTTATATACTTCCTGATTAAAAAAGCATATGATATAGTGAATAACACAGTACATTCCGTTCAGTATAATTTCCCCTATCATTTCGCTTTCGTCAACTAGAATTTAAACTGGATGATGTTGCTCCGACAAAAAAAACCTCAAAAGGGTTGCTTCAAAAAAACAGAGACTCGATTTTCAACGTATAAACTAATAGAAAATAGATGTTTTTGATCATTTGATAAGGAAATATTACAACTTAACTTAAGACAGAGAATTAGTTAAAGGAACAAACATAAAATTTCGTATCTTATTGTTAATTGGAAAATATTGTAAAATATTGCAAAAGAAGGATATTTGATTATAAAAAGGTATATCATTCGTAATATGGAAATACTATTAGAAATTTAAGGAAATTGTGGTGACGCGCCGTTGGAGTGTCTGACCATTCCTCGCTAATTCCACTGACACTCGGGCTTTGAGACACTAATCGTTGTTTGATAAGTACACTCTACGGATACCTTTGTATCGTTCAATTAAATGTTCCAATGGACTACGCATCCATCTGACAAAATAGTCTCTAAACTGAAAGGCTGATTGAAGAAAGATTTAGAAACGAATGGACATTATACTTTTTAATCGAACCACGTCAAACAAAATATGCGAAGGTGTCGGCAAAATTTGTCCAACAATAACGATGTAACTGCGAATTACTTGATCAACTTAAATCAATTTTCGTTCAGAATGATCGTGAACATGTTCTGAACACGATTGAGCTCAAATTCCAGCGGATCGCGGATATAAATAAACTACAGAATATTATTAAAAAATCGCTGCAGTAGTTAAAACGTTCATAGCCGTCAAATTAATTAAACAGATTAATACTGATTTTCAATTATAGTTTAAGGTTAAAAAATATGTACCTGTAACCCCAAATTTTGCAAAAGGAACAGTAACATGAAATAAACATTACTCGCGCTATAATGCTTCTCGCAAGACGATCATTAATTAAAAAACGCGTCAGCCCATAGTTCGCCAATTCTACTTCTTTCCAAAACTACAAACTCCTCCGTCGACTATCTCTGAAATCAAGTACCGTTCGCAAAAGTTCGACACATCCTCGAAGAAAATTCTTTCCCCCCAGGGTGCTATCCCGTTCGTTCCCTCGATCCTTAGATCCCAATAAAACGAAGAATCGGATCCAATCACTGGCACCTTCTACCAGGCACCGTCGCGTTCCATAAAACTATCCCGATCACGTGGCATTAACGTATCAAACGTTTGTTGATAGTCGTCGGCTCGTACGATTCGATCCGAATCGCGTTCGGAAAGCGCAGGGGATCGCGTCGCAAGCTCGCCTCGCCAGCCGAAAATAAAAAGGCATGGCACGCGAATCCGGCGTCAACAGAAATAGAACCGACGAATCGACGAGCGAAGGAATAAACGAGCGTTCGTAGGCGTCTTTGAAAGATTTCCGCAGAGAGCCACCTGTCCATCCGACCGGACTTGTCGAGTGTAACAACGTACACGCCTCATGTACCCGCGAGTACAATCGTGGTGCACGCGTACTCGCGATTATTCCCCGAGACGGCGAGAACCCGTTTCGAAAATCCAACGAACCCGGCCACTCGATGCACCTGCTAATCCGCGCCAAGGTATCTGTGCCGCGCGAGAAAAACCGACGAACGAAACGACGAAGCTTCAACGATCCGACTGCGGAGAGCTACCACGAAACGCGCACTGTTTCTTCCCGTTCTCGGTCCGAGCACTTCCGAGGAACCCTAAGCAACGTTCTCACCGGAAAGAGACGACGTGCGAAACTTCATTCATAGGATCACTGGGGAAACAAACAACTTCGCTCTTTCAACGAATCACCGAGGTCGCAACGGCGCTCCAATTTCTGGCCACAGCAGCGAACCGTCGGTCGATCTACCCGTCTAAAAAGCCAGTCTCACATTTTAGGCTCGCGGAATTCCCGGAAACGTGTTCGGAAAGCATCGTGGCCATCGCGACACGCAACGATCGCAGCGTGTGCCACCGCGTAAAAAGAACCGCACAAACGTGTTCCATTGTTTCGATCAGCGAAACGGAGAGAGAGAGAGAGAGAGAGAGAGAGAGAGAGGGAGAGAGCAGCAATCGAAGGCGACGCGTAGCACGCGTGTATCGTAGCCGTGTCGTTCGTCGCGTGAGAAAAAAACGCCTAACTCCTGTCGACTATCCTCGGTAGGATCGCGGGGAGGACATGTGTGTCGGAGCGGTTCTCCGTGCTCGAAACGCAAACAAGATAAACAATAGAATAAATAAGAACAGGTTTGCGAAATTGAACTATATATACCACAAGGGACAACAAGCATCGTCTTGCGTGTAAAATCGTGAACGTACTCGTTTCTCGCGCTGCTGGTCACCACTTGTTAGGTAGTAGCGTTCGGGATGCGACACGCATGAATCGGGGGTTCGACCGTTGCTCGGTGGGCCTCGATAGAATGTCTTGTTGAACGCTCTTGGAGGTTCTTGGAGGGGCCGAGGACGGGCGACGAACAACACACGGTTTCGCGCGACGACGGCGGCGGCGACGGCAACGACGACGACGAGGACGACGAGGACGAGGACAACGGCGACGCGGCAGGACGAGAATCATGACTCGTCCGTTCCGTCCATACCGTCTTGCCGCGGGACGATCCTCTCAGCGCGGCGATCCCGGCGGCCGTTCATCGGGCTGGGGGAAGGAGCCGACGCGGACGAGGGAAACGGCATATCGTCTCTGGCTGTGCCTGTAGCTGCGGCTGTGGCTGTGGCTGCGGCTGCGGTAGGCGGTAGCGGTAGGCGGTAGCGATAGCGACGACTGTAGCGGCACCAGAAACGCTGCTCTCGAGGCGTGCGTCGAGCATGAAGCACTGTTTACACGCGAGGAGGGGCGCCATGGTCACTGCCGCCTCAGCTCCTCGTTCGCGATCATCGTCGCCGCGGTGCCTGGACCCGTTGTCGATCGTCCTCCTGGCGGCGCTAACGCGTGCCGCGTCCTCACTTCGGCCAGCCTCGGTGTCATCGCAACGAATCCCGTACGATCGCCCGTTCATTCATCCCCGAGACATTACTCTGCCCGACGATCCGCTTCCCTGCTGCTACGCACACATTCACCCACCATCCTACCGCGGTCCGTTTCACGCTCCGTCTCTCCTTCTCTGTCGCTCCTCGCCACCACCTCGCTTCGTCGTCCTTTCTCTCTTTCTATTTCTCTCCCTCTCTCTCTCCCTCTCTCTCTCTCTCTTCTGTCCCTTCCCCTTGCCTCGGCCGACAGCTTTCTTCGCCCGCTAACCCGCGCACCCTACGGTAACCTGCCCGCCCTCTCCTAGCCTCGCCACTCTCTGGTTCACCCTCCGACCACTCTCTCGCTCTCGCGCGGCTGCCACAAGCGACACGAGTGTGCTGCTCCCGAGCTGTGCGACGCGTGCCAAAGCTCTCGTTAGACTACCATCCGATAGAACTAGCGCCACGCCCTCCACGCAGGTGGCAGCACCCACCGTCATCTCCGCCGACTTACCATCCACTCTTTCCAACCCCCTCTGCCGGGCCCCCCTCTACCGAGCTTTTCTACCGAACCCCTCTCTTTATCCCGACCTCCTCTAACCAAGCCGACTCTACCAAACCCCTCTCTGCCAACCTCCTCTCTACCAACCTCGGCCACCCCGCCGAGCAGACGTTCGGTCTTTACCCGGTGGCTCTTCCCTTTAGTGGTTTACCCTTGCCCTCTCGTGCCGTCGTTCCCTCTTTGTCCCTCCAACCGGCTTCTTTTCGTTCATATTTACTTACATAGCCTCGCGCTGCGCCCCGCCTCGTCCCACCCCTCCGTGTTCCTTACCCTTTTCTCAATTTTTCTGCGCTACTTCACCACGGACTTTTCAACGTTGCCCCGTTCCTCCGCGATTTCATGCCTCATCTTCTTCCTTTTTTTTTCTGCCCCTCTTCGCAGGTTTCGGATCTTACTTGCTCTGCCCCGCGGCCTCGCTTCCACCGACCTCGGGCCACCCCAGCCGATTTTTATGTTGCTCCGGGCCCGCTTTCGGCGGACGTTTTTTTTTCTGTTTTTTGATGTTTGGTCTATTCGCGTCGTTTCCTCGGCTTTTTTGTTTCCAGCGAGGCGACGTGGAAACGTTGTCGCGAGAATTTGCAGGTTCGTCGACGCGTTCGGTTTTTATCGTCGACGATGTGTGTTTCGTGTCCTCCCCCTTCGCGCGTGTTTATTCTATTTCGGACGGTCGTTCGTGTCTCTTTGTCTCGTCGGTCGAGAGAGACGTTTTTGCTGCGCACGGTGATAATGTTTTCGGAATGAAATCGACGTGCGTGCGGGCGCGTAGTTCGTCGCGGCGGATTTCTGGGAAACGAAGTGGGCGCGTTTCGATCTTTAGGGTAATTCGCTTCGAGATCTGGAGGGACGATTTCTGTTGCGCCCGTTGTTTCTCGTCCGACAAATTGCGACGAGGCTGCGACCACGTTTCGGGGGAAACCGTGTGTATGTGTGTGTGTGTGGATGCGGAGCACGTGCTGCGCCCACGTTGTCTACAGGGAACGTATGTGGCACGGTTTTACCACTTAGCGAAGATTGATGTTTGAATTTTACAAAGCTGCGTTGCTTTTGAAAAAGTCCGGCGCTGGGTGCACCAGCATCGCGCTGCAGTATTAATTTTCGTATTCGCGTTCGAATGGGATACCGTTTCGGTTAGCTTTGTGTCTCGGTGCTCCCCTGAACGCGATTCCGAGGTAAAGTTATTACCAAAACGGCACATCGAATTTGGAGCGAGCACCCTTTCACAATACGCGATCGAAATATTTGATGATTCGTTTTTGTTGAAATAATTAATCGTCATTCGATTCTTTAAATTCTTGCAACGAAGCGCTCGCTGGATATGAGCCGTTTATTTTGAAAGTGGCATAAGTCACTTTGTTTTTAAGTCGGTCACTTTGTTTTTAAGTCGATATATTTAAGGGTTTGCGTTTTAACACGTTTACAAATATGGATGCTAACTTTCGAGAAGATCTACTTGTATTTGTTATCTCAGGATACTGATATTTTTCTCGGTATGAATAATTTCGTATAAACATTAAAAAATCACCACTTTTCATTACGGTAAAGTGACTTATGCCACTTTCAAAATAAACGGCTCATATGTCGTTGCTTGTATCTCATCGTTCTCTTTTAATTGCGCTAACATTAATCTATAGAATACGAGAATGACTCTGAAACATTTTGTTACATCTTGCATCGTATAAATAATTTATTATTTCATACATTTTACATATTCCAAACAAGCGCGAGTCTGGTTAAACTTAGTCAATACATGAAACATTAACGTGATATCGCACGAAAAGTGCAGCGGAATTGAAACAGTTCGATTTAATAATTGCTTTGCTGTTTAACAGCCGAACTACTTGACTCCGAACTACCGCACAGTTCTGTCACATTTTTTGGTATAATTGGCGCCACAAATTCTCTAAATGTTTCTAACGGGCACAAGTGGGTACCGCATCCAGGGATCTTGAGTTGTTCGGTCTTGCCATTGTTTCTGTAAAATATCTGCCAACGACGAAAGAGAGATGCTTAATATCGAAACTGTTCGAACGAACTACACGTATGTTTAT